ACACCATATTCAACATATATATTAGTTGTATTAAACACATGCTTCCTTTATATGTTATGTAACAACTTGTGTTGAAGCCTAATAGACTAGATAGTGATTAGGTACCTACACCAAAAGCTTTGATACACCATATTCAACATATATATTAGTTGTATTAAACACATGCTTCCTTTATATGTTATGTAACAACTTGTGTTGAAGCCTAATAGACTAGATAGTGATTAGGTACCTACACCAAAAGCTTTGATACACCATATTCAACATATATATTAGTCGTATTAAACACATGCTTCCTTTATATGTTATGTAACAACTTGTGTACTGTTGATATTGAATATGTGGCCACTCCAAGTCATGGAAAAATATTTCTTTTGCACAAGTCAAGAAAATTTGGCATTAGATAAATGGGGATAAAGTAGGGCTAACAAAACTTTAGTGTAAAGAAACTACAGAATAAGACTTTAATAGTTTATTAATTAAATCTGTTTAAGAGTGACATGAAAATTCCCTTAAGAATATTATTATACCAAAATATCTTGAAGTTGAGATTTGAATGTGTTATTTCCAAGGTCCACAGTTACATTAAAAATGAAGAGTTGTTATAACACATTAAATCAATTTGCCAAAAGCATATTGGGTTTGGAACACAAATGTAGAATTATATTTTTATGGCAGATCATATGTACAAACATTGAACTTTTGTGTAATTTGGTTATTATTTTGAATTTGTCATTCAAGTCTTTGGTATTTTAGGTGGCTCAACGGTAAGTCTGGGAGCTATAAAATGAGTTTTGATACTCATTGTGAGTAGAGTACAGATAATGCTTTGTGTTTAACAGTGCACAAAATAAAAAGAGTTGAAAGTACTTCAGAATGGTGCACTGTGTTACACTTGTATAATATTTTTATAGAAGACCATTTTTCTACAAATTTTAGAAATATTATTTTCTTAGCTTTCTGTATAAAACAAATTATTTATATATGTGTATGTGTGGATTATAAAAGGTGATTTACTTATTATTTATTGCTTATATTTTCAATAGAAAAATTGTTCTTTAACTTGAGTACTGTATCAGATTTGTTTATCAAGGGGATCAAGGTCCTTACTTGCCTCCGAAAGACCCAGTACCTGTAGAAGTCTGCCACTTGTTAAAAGGAACATACGACATTGCAGAACAGATCAGTGAAAAATCATAGTTTTAATTATGAATTAATGTAAATTATCAGCTCAGTTTTCTTTTTCATATGATACCCCACATTTTGTCCTGTTTGATTTATTTTCTCATAAGAACTAATAATGATGTATTTATTTAAGTGTTTAGTAAGTTGTAGAAGTGAAGTCCTGAAATATTAATGTAATTTTTTCTTGTAAATATGATAAGAAAAAATCATGTAATTTAAGAAATTGTGTACACAATTTTGATAAATAAAACAAAAAAATCAACTTAGAAAGCTAATGCTGAGAATATGAGGAATTCTTTGTAAATTAAATGGATTGTTGCATGAACTTGTGGTGAAGAACAAAAGAACATGAAGTGGTTGCCAAATAATGTTATTAATGCAATATAAAAATTAAATTTCATAATAAAATTGAAAGAAAAAGAACTACAATTTTTTCTTTAGTAAAGAGAATACAGCCATGAAGGTATAGCACGAAATGGGTAGAGATGAAACTGTTAATGTTCAAGAAGTCTACCGTGACTTTAATAGAGCTGAAGCCTAAAATTGTTTGTTTTTTGGACTTTCATTTTTGGAAATTGAATGTCATTTTTATATGTGATAAATGGGTTAGATGGGCCAGGTCAGAGACTCCTAGGGCTTGGATATAGTTATCTCTAATTTAGAACTACTGATCAGAGCCAGCAGCACTCACCAACATAGAGGTGTCTTCTGCTTCTTTGAAGTGAATAACTGAATTTGCCATAGGGTCAGTGCAATGGATCTTCTGTGTATTGGAGAAGAAATGTTGACTATAATTCCTAATTTACTCTGTATATCTATATAAAATGTCCAAAGCTTTTATTAAAATGTACAAGTCTTGTACAAAAAAAAAAATCAGATGTGTTACAAAAGTCTTTGTACTCCAAATATGTCTTTAAATTGATTATGTCTATCAGACTCAGATTCTGACAAGTCAGAGTGCAAGGTGATGTTCGTTTGAAGAATATAAATACTTTTGTCCATTATATAGTTTGCGTATTACATTTATGCAACTTCTGGAACCTCCAAATTACATATCTTCAGATTTTTCAGTATCCCTATATATTTTACCTGGTATTTACTTTCCACTGCCTTAAACTGTTGCTAATATCAATGCCATAGGGTCAAATTAATAGCTGGTAACTGACATCAAATAATAATACCATGTTGAATGGATCTGTATAAGGTCATAGCATGCACACTTTAACCCTCATCCATGCACATGGGGATAATGAGATTGATTGTCACTTTTATAACATGTCAGTAGTTAAAAGTGGAGTGTATTCAACTGTCGGATATCCTTGGACCATTTGGTCTACCATCCAACAGACTGACCACTAGGCCCTAAAGTATTATTAAAAAAATATGATAATGTGAAAAATTAACTTAAACTGAAAATATAAACTGTCATACTTCCAACTATCATAAATAAAAGAATATTTTGATATATTTTTTTACAATAATCCTAGAACAAATAATAGAGTAAATATTAACAGAGAAATATATTAAATTTTGCAATAAATGAAAATAGATATAAATTTCTGACTGAAACAACATTCATCTTTGTATCTGAGATGGACACCTCCATATTATTATCAATAAATTTAAAGCAGTTGACATTGTTGGGTATATTGGGGAAAATGAATATTTTCTTTCCAACCTGGAAGAAGAATGTCATAAAAGTGTTGCTGTTTGACTGTGTTGTAAGACATATACACACAATACCACACGGTAAAATATGTCTTGGTTACTAAATAAAACGTTTTGTATGCAAAAACATGCGAGTACAATGAGATGAAGTTTGCAAAATACAAAATGATTAATTACACTGTAAAAGAAGAAAGTTAGTGGTCAACATTTTGTTCAGTTGACCTGAGTGGAGAACTGAACAAAATAGATCACTTATTGGCTAAGAGGAAACCACTAGGAAGATTGTTAGTTTGTTTAAAACATTTTTGCATCTAGCTATACAAGGACAACCTGCACATATCCATCCCTTATTTTGAATTACTACACTAGAGGGAAGGCAACTAGTTAACAGCACTCAGTGCTAACTTTTAGACTACTTTTACCTGACTAAATTTTGAGATTTGACTGTCACTCTTATGAGCCTACCCATGCCCTCAAAGTATGACCTCCGATTTCTAAGATTCACAGTTTGGTCAATCTAACTATAGGCAATGCTTGACACGCCAATAGAAAAAGCATAAAATACTAAAACACAGGAGAGATGAAACTGAAAAAACTTACTGGTTGGCAGAAACCCATAGAAAGTGGGGTAAAGTTGTGATACAGAATAAAGAAAGCATAAATTATGGAGTAATGTATGTGTTGTTATTTTAATTTAGACTTTGTGATTTGTAACTGTTGCTAGAGAGAGAGAGTTTTGATGTGATTAGCTCCTGAAGCCTCTGGACATGTAGTGATGAATGTATTAGGCTTAGACATTTCAGGAGTGCCCGGAATAACTGAATAATGTAAAAACAAAATTAGAGAACATATTCAAGAGTTGATTAGTATTTTAATTACAGCAATTTCAGCACTGTATGTTTGAATTTGTATTTCAACAAAGTGGAGAGCTTGCAAGTAAGTGACTGCTTAGTTGTATTTGTAAGTTAGGCTTAATTACAAAAATAACCTTTTTAACTTGTGCATTATACTTGAAGAAGTAAACCACTTTAGGTAGAATTAAGAATTTGAGAATTTGCATTTTTTTACTGAATAATCAAAAAGAGCCATCCACAATAGAAATCGTTACATGAGGATTAAGATGAAAGATGATGAATAAAAGAACATGAATATATATAGATGAAGTCAAAAAATAATAATAACGAGTCATAAAAAGTACAAATAAATAAGTAAATTTGTAAGTTCAAGGTAAATATAAATTTAAAAACAAAGTACTGGAAGCAATAAAAGAAAACTAGCAGTTGAGAGCATGAAAACCTCCATTCCTACCAAAAATGTAGATAATGTGATGTATCTTTTGATTGTGCAAAGAATTGTAATATTGATATAGAGAATAGAATGTACATTACAGAGAAAGTGTTGATTGGTGTTAATGTCTTTTAGAGATCCTGTCTCTTAATCATTGGCTAGTTTGATTTCCATAAGTGTTAGAGCAAAAACTGTAATATGTTAAGTTAGAAGCAGCACAAGTGATATGATATGTGATATAATACATATCTGATGGAATTTTAAAAAATGATGTTGGATGGCAGGTTCTATGACAATAAAATGTACTAAAATTATTCGGAAGTGTATATCTCAGTGTACTGTGGATCAGAAGAATCCTCAAGTTGTTATTCTTTCCTGTACAAGATCAGTAAATAATTAAGTAAAACACCTTTATGTTCGGGATCGTCAGCTACAATGGGATTGCTGTTCCTTCTGATCCTAGTGTACTCGATAAAGATTGTCAGGAAGACTAAATAATAATTGTTATTCATTTGTCTTGGCTTGCAGATTGAAGAGTATCGGCTCTTGGGATGGACTTGGCTTGATCAATATCTCTGTGGACAGTGGTCTTCCAATGACTCAGTGTCAGTCTGAGGGCTCACATCACACTGCGTTTTGATACTCTTGGTGGGCACATAACAGATAGCCCATCGTGTAGTGTTGTGCTTAATAATAAACAAACCTTTCGAAACCAAAATGGAAAGAAATGTCTGGTGTATTTCACACACCATAACCTTAATTTGTTATTCTGTCTGAGTTTAAAGGCTTATCACCAGCAAGCTGAATCTTTCAATAACCCAACAAAAGTATATTATAATTACTATCATTTATTATACTATAAGTACAGGAAAAACTTTTCAAAAAATGAAGTAAATGTATGGATGGCTAATATAAATTCTTCAAAAACAATGCAAACAAGATAGTAGGGATGGCATTTGCATCATCCCTACATTACAACACAGGCACACTATGTAGTATGTTAGCAGACAAAAGTAGGATAAATGAAACTCAATTGTGATTGGATAGTTATATATATTGCTGTATGTTAATTCTTGTCTGTGCTATTATGTATGGATGATGCAAATTTCATCCCTACTATCTTGTTTGCATTGCTTTTGAAGGATTGATATTAGCCATCTCTACATTCACATCATTTTTTGAAGTTTTTTCTTTATTTTTAATACAATGTTTCAACAGACATAGGAAGAATGTATTTAGAACTAAGTTCTAAATACAATGAGGTTCCAACTGTGATATTTATTGTTTTTCTGTTATTGGTTGGTAATTCCTGTTTCACCCTGTACTTAAGCTTCTGAAAGGAACACTACATATATGTAAGAAAGCTAACTTCAAGGGGTAATGATAACATCGTTTACACTAGAATTATGATTATTTTAAAATTACTACTAGTTATTAATAACGCTTATAAAAGCGGATACTTCGTTTGAAACTATATCACCTCAATGAACTTGGTTGACACCTTTGTTTGGTTTATGTGTTATCATGTAATAAAAAAGAAAGAACAAAAACAATAAATTCAAACTATTTGCTATGATATTTACAGAAATTCCCAGAATTTGTGACTCAGTTACATAGATATTGGTATAAAAGGAAACACTGTACAGTATTGTCAAGTTCTGATTACCTATTGAGGAGATATATAATCTGAGCCATCCATACATAGGCAGTACTGCTGCCTGCCAGATACTTTTTAAAGTCTCATCACCTTGTTAACTGTTGGATGATTAGGCTACTAAGTAACTACAGATAGAAAAGTGTTTTACAACATGAATACAAAAACATTTTTTTATTAAACTTCTCTTTATTATTAACCACTGGCTTTTTAGACGATAAATGAGGTCTCTAGATGGTACAGTGAGATTTTTAGATGGCAAAGTGAGTTCTATAGATGGTAAAACGATCTCTCTTAAAATGACCTCTAAATGGTAAAATAGCAGACCAAATAGATATTTTGAATTGTGCTTTTAAAGAGAACAACACCAACTATAGACTGAATAAAGTAAGACCCAGAACAACGTTTCAAGAATTCAATGAAAAGTGTTAATTTATTTCAAAAGTATATTTTTCTTAGCAGGTAAGAGTTACTTTGAATATAGTTAAATGATACAGCCTAAAAAAAATTATTTCAAAACATGATTACTCAAACAAAGTAAAATATGTCAAAAGAAGTTCCCGCTCTACCACTAAGTACATGTAAGAATATTGGACATACCTAATATATGTATATACGTACAGAAGGTTGAGTGTGTTATATTAAAATGATTTTGTGTATGCAAAT